TTCCTATCTGGAGAAAGCCACTGTACCATTACACTACTTGGCTTCCATTTCAGTCTGCCCTATCACTAACTGCAATTTTCAAGCCTTAAAGCTAATATTTATGATTAGTAGAAGAAACAATTTCTATACTTGTAGTAAATAATTAGTACTTAATCAGTAGATCAAATCATGTCAGTTGTCACTCCAAAATAAATCCATTTCAAAACCTACCCAGAAATTATGTTTGAAAATAGAAGTGAAAGAAACAAAAGCGCAGAGTGGGAAGGAGGAGGCACTTGTAGGAATAGAGATATATGTTTTCTCTAAACAAATACAAAAAGAGCTGGCAGAGATGAACTTGGCCTTTATTTTTCACAAGTATATAAATAAGCATGTCTCTCTAAAAAACACCTCCAATGCACATCCCACACTTTGGACACCTTTGTTGCTGTCAGTGGCATTTACCACCTTCTATTCCTCACACTACTACTTCCATTCAACCACACACTGCCAAGGAATACAATGAAAGTTTTAAAAAACGAGAGAGAGAGAGAGAGAGAGAGAGAGAGAGAGAGAGAGAGAGAGAGAGCGAGCCCTATTGTACAAATAAAGCTGCTGGAAGTAAATTTCTTCAGCCTTCATCTATCTACCAGATCAATACTCTGAAGCTCCTCCTCTATAGAAATTCTGCAGGCACATCAGTTTCCCACACCAATTTCCTATTACCATCTAACACAAAATATTTTAAACATCAAACTTTCATCACAACTCTTACTGGAATTATTAAACGTAAATGAAACCTGTATTCCACAGGTGACATTTCCTTTCCCTGAACCTGGGGAAGAATCCTCAGCACCACCTCACACCCCACCAGCATTTCTATACCACTGTATGTAAATGATTCTCAACACCATCCTCTCTTCTGGAACTCATGTCAATTTCTACGTCCAATGTGAAATCCTCCTTGACCACCACTAGAAAGACTTCTCCTTCCTACCTCTCTTGTTACTTAACTTTTCCAGCCCAGCAATGAATTCATAAGTAAACAGAATAAATTCACAGTAAAATCCTACAATCTAAAACCCAACTGTGGTTCATGTGTGTGTTTATGTTGGGGTGGGGAATTGGTGCTAAGAAGTGAGCAAAATGGAGGAATATGTGAGAACAATCCATAAAACAACCACACAGTAAGGTCTTCGGAGTAATGGCAGAAGAGTTTTACATGTGAAACCAAGACTAAACCAGCAGAAGCACAATGAGCTGAGAACCCTGTTCAACAGAGAGATACATTGTTTTTCCACCAGAAACTCAAAAAGAGTGTTTGGTAAACTTCTTACCTTCTAGGCATGAATCACAAGTTTTCATTAGAAAAGGCATCAGCTGAGGTAAGAATGAAACATGCTCTCAGGATTAAGAACTTTTCATCCTCTGCTGACCCACTTCCTCTCAAGTCAAGTACAAGTTTGGAAAAGCTATAAATATCCTCAAATAAGACTCTTGACAGGCTAAGGTTTTTATTTATCTTGATAGATAATTTCCAGATTTAAAATTAGCTACCTACTCCTATTATCCTTACCAAGAGTGCTTGGCTTATACTACCTCTGCTGTAAAAAAAAAGGCCCATAGATTTACTAATTGAATTCATTAGAACACTTCTCAGAGGACCAAGAAGTTTGAAAACAAAAGATTGCCAGGTGCAGTGTGCATGTCTATATTCCCAGCGTGGAAGTCCCAGGCAGGAGAATCACAAGTTCAAAGCCAGCCTCAGCAACTTAGTGAGTTCCTCAAGCAACTCAGCTTGAGGAAATTAAAAAAAAAAAAAAAAAAAAGGTGTGGGGGGGGGCTGGGATTGTGGCTCAGCGGTAGAGCGCTCTCCTAGCACGGGCAGGACCCAGGTTCGATCCTCAGCACCACATAAAAATAAAGGTATTGTGTTGTGTCCATCTACACCTAAAAAAACATATATATTTTTTAAAAAGGCTGGGGATATGGGTCACTGGTTAAGTATCACTGAGTTCAATCCCTGGTACCAAAACAAAAACAAAGGACTAACTGTAATAAGTGGTGGAAAAATTAAAAAAAAAAAAAAAAAAAAAAAACGGAAAAGAATATCTGTATGAAATCTAGTAAAAATATTAGATGTAACACAAGTTTGAATATTACTGAAACCAGGGGATGGAAACAGTTCCTCATACTGGTCTTTTTAATTGTTGTATATGTTGGGATATGTTGGGAGATATCCATAATCGAAAAGTCAAAAAATAATTAGGCTAGAAACAAATTTAGAAAAGCTCTTAGAATTCCATATGCCTTCAGGGACAATGACATGGACTAAAATGAAAACTTAACATTTCCAATACCTGCCCAGAACTTTAGTGAGTATAAAAGAGAGGGACCAAAAGCAAAAGAGAAAACAAGATCTTGTTTATTGAGGCCAGGCAAAGCCAACCTTCTTCAAGGTGTAAATTCAAAAGTAAGTTCTTTAGGCTGAAGAAGGCAGGTCCACATGGAACTATCCTGGTCTGACAGTTTGTACATACAGGCCACTGCAGGGAGTACAATCTGACATGACCATTTCTTTTCTTCAATTAATTCTATGACAGTAAAATGGGAACAGAGGCAGGAGACTGGTATAACATTCTCTCTCTGGTGCCCTCCATGTACTCCCAGAATGCTCGAAGTGATGTGCATCTCTAGATACTTTCAATGTTTTGAGTTCAACAGCTTATCATTAAGATTTGTAGGATACAATTAGCTTGACTTAAGATCATTTTATCCTCAAGAAGTGGGGAGCGGAAGACAGGAAAGAGAAAAGGTGATAGGAGGGGAAAGAGTGTAATCTCTTTTAAAGACAAATTTATGAACTGAAAAATAATTATAATTGACAAAACATTAAGAAAACTTTCACAAAGAACTACAGGTTAATATTGCTTTCCTCTGATTACTAAACTATACTTTAAGGCAGAAACAATACATCTAAGCCCAATTACTCTCCAAAATCTCATGTATATGTTCTGTTTTCATGGCAAAAATGAATATAAGTATGTGGAAAGGAAGGTGGATATTATTAAAAATTTGTCAAAAAAAAAAAAAACTACCTGCTTCATCACAATGACAGAACTTCCCCCCATACAACATGAAGAAAATTACATTCTAGGAGAAAAAAGTTTAAAATTGTTTAACACTGGACATGATGGAACATGCCTGTAATCACAGCAATGTGGGTGGCTGAGGCAGGAGTATCCTTAGTTCCAGGCCAGCCTTGGCAATTTAGCAAGACTATATCAAAATTAAAAATAAAAAGGGCTGGAAATGTAGCTCAGTTCTACAGCACCCCTAAGTTCAACCACTACCACAAAAAAAAAAAAAGAAAGAAAGAAAGAAAGAAAGAAAAGTTTTAATAATTAACAAGAGAAATAAGACAGCAATACACATTTTACATTTAGTAAATGTACGTTTACATTTAGAAAATATTTTAAGATATTTTTCATGATTATTAAATCACACTCAAACTTGTAATTAGCCCTTGAACGTGTTCCAACATTAGAAATAATGATGCAGAATATCTATAGACTAAATCTACGAACACAAAAACAGACACCAGATGGAACATTTAGGCCTTTCAGTAAGTTTTTTATAGTGTTTAATATCCCAAAAGCCTTGTGTACATCATACATGTGGAACTGCAGTAGGTTCAGAGCCATATGAAATGAACATGAGAAACTTCTCAGATGCATTATAAGTAACTACTATACTGTGAAATCAACCTTAAATTATAGAAAACCCAAAACATAATGCTAAATATTATCAGAAAATCATAAAAACATACTTTAAAGAACAAAAATATTTATATTTATCTAGCAAAAAATTACATTAAATTCTTACCAAAAAATACATTAAATTGCTTATAGAACAAATATGCCATTAAATATGTGCTTACCAATTGTCAAATAATTAGCAAAATCAGCTTCAAAAGTAAAGTTTTACTTTTTATTAAAATGTGATCAATATTGACACAAACATAAAAACAGAATATGAGAAAACAAGGATGGCAGATTCACAGCAGTGAGGGGAGTGTATATGCTACATCATCCTATCCCAGGGTAGATATCAAGAATCATTCACTGCATCAGGTGTAATGACACACCCCTATAATCCCAGCTACTTAGGAGGCTGAGGCAGGAGGATCACAAGTTCAAGACTAGCCTTGGCAACTTAGTGAGACCCTATCTCAAAATAAAAATAGAAAGGACTCGGGATGTAGCTCAATGGTAGAGTACCTCTAGGTTTAGTTCCAGAACACACACAATAAAAGAGAAATAATCACCATATTCTTCCTCCCAGGGCCATGTGTTCTCATTTTCAAAGAGAACACTTCAGGTAACTACTACCAACAACCCACAGAAAAAATACTACAAAAAACCTGTTTTCTATCCCTAAACTGGGATTTTAGTAACCTAAAACACTTTGCCAGAATTTTAGGTGATTATTTTAAAATCAGAAATAGTCATGCTTTCATATTACTCAAAATTCACTTAATCAGAAATGGATTTCAATGCATTTTACACTTCAGAGACAGATTCAATATTGAAACAACATCACAAACTCATAAATACACTGGTAAACTTTAACCCTTTAGTGAGAAAGAGTGGGATATGCTGTTTTCTTTTGAAGACAGAAAGCACACTCAAACTACTAACAAACAGTCTGCTGTACAAGTCGACAGTGAACACACTCAGGCCAAAATAAGAATACTGGTAAGTCAAAGAAGTAATTCCGTATTCAGTATGCACAATACATGTAGGGGGACTCATATAATTGGGAATTCATATAAGGCATTAAGGATCTTGCATTTCCCATGAAGTTTCTACATTTTTTTTTAATAACCAACAACATAATAAGAAGTAAAGGACTAAACATAAATAAATAAATAACCTAAAGCCATAGTGTCAAAAAAAAGAAGTAGTAGTAGTAAAGGACTGATTCATGGCATTAGCAAAGAGATGAAACTTAATACTTACTTTTGCAAAGGCTTCAAAAATGTCAAAAGAAGCTGGCAGCTGAGAAGCATCCTGTATTTCTTCTCTCATGAAATGTTGAAATGTCATTGTAAGTTGCCTGAGGCCCTCTTTCTTATCTTCAGTAAGTTTGCTAATATCTTTAACAAAAAAAAATAAACAGCAAAATCACAAAGTAAACAATGGATAATTTTCAGGTATTCAATGCTGGCTGCTAAACCAGATATTTCCCATCTCACCTTCCATTCTAACATCTTTTTATTTGACAACCACAAATCATAATACATATATAATCAATTAAATCTACCAAATTTTATCTACAATGTAAGATCAAATACCTATTAAGAACATAATAAATGCATATACCAACGAAAAAGATTAAAAACTAAAATCACTAAGGTTTTGCATCACCAGATTTTCTACATCAACATGTATACATACACAAACCATCATAAATCTTTATTAAGTCAATGGATTTAAACAGATTTTACCATGAAAAATTTACAACTAGGTCATCACAAACTGATAAACATTATAATCTGAAAGACAAGAAGACTGAAAGGAGAATAAATTCTGACAAAATTCAAATAAATGAAATTTGTTATATGGAACATTCATCACGAAAACATATTAAACAAAGAAATCTCAATTTCATTTTCAGATTGAATACATAAACATAGAGCTACTTTAACAACTGTCTGACTTGAAGAGAAATGCCACACCAAAAAAAAAAAAATGTTAAAACTGATAAAACAGATTTGGTTAAAGTTATAGATACAAAAACAATATATAAAAATCAGTAAAATTTTTTTATACACCAATAACAAAATTGCTAAAAAAGGACAATAGCTACACCATAAATAAAATAGCTAGGATGAAATTCAACCAAGGAAATGAAAGACTTCTACTGTGAAAAGTATAAGACAAAAGAAACTGAAGGGGACACAGAATAGGAAAATACTTCCCATGTTCATAAATTCAAAGAATGAATACTGCTAAAATGTCCAACTACCCAAAGTGATCTAAAGATTCAATGTAATTCCCATCAAATTAACAATGAGATTCTTCACAGAAATAGGAAAAATAATCACAAAATTCACATGGAACCATGAAAAACTGAATTGCCAAAGAAATTCTGAGCAAAAAGAAAAAAGATGGAAGCACCACGATATCTGACTTCAAAAAACTACAAAACTAAAGTAACCACAGACCCAGAAACCAATGCAACAGAAATGAATCTACATAATATACAATCAAGTGATTTTCACCAAAGGTGACAACGACATACATTGGGAAAAAAGCAGTCTCTTTAATAAACAGTACCCCGAAAACTCGAAATACCATGTGCAGAAGAATGAAACTACATCCATACCTCTCACCATATTCAAAAATCAACTCAAAATAGATCAGACTTAAATGTAAGACCCCAAACTATGGACCTACTAGGAAAAAGAAAAAAAAAACATAAAGGAAAAGTTTCAGGATATTGATCTAGGCAAAGTTTTTTGGATATGACCCCAAAAGCATAGGCAACAAAAGCAAAAATCAGCAAATAGGATCACCAACAGCCTAACAGGCTCCTGCACAAAGAAACAATGGATGCAGTAGAGAGACAACCTATAGATCAGGAGAAAACATGTGCAAAGTATTCAACTCACAAGGGATTAACGTTCACCATACTTAAGGAACTCAAAACCAACAGCAAAAAAAAAAAAAAAAGTAAAATGATCTAGATTGAAAAGGGGCATAGAATCTGAATAGGCATTTCTCAAAAGAAGACATGCAAGCGACAAAAAAAAAGTTCAACATCATTACTCATCAGGAAAACACAAATCCAAAGCACATTGAAAGCCATATGCACATATGCAGTGGCAGATGCCTAAAATCCCAAAGAACTGGGAGGCTGAGGCTGGAGGATCCCAAGTTTGAGGCCAGCCTCAGCAACTTAACTTTATTTTATTTTAACAAAATAAAAATCACTAAGGATGTAGCTCAGTCATAAAGCGTCCCTGAGTTCATCCTCCACTAGCACAAAAACAAAAGAAAAATATCCACAGTGACAATGGCTATTATCAAAGAGAAAAAAAATAACAAATGCTGATAAAGATGTGGAGAAAGAGGAACTCCTACACTATTAGTGGACATGTAAATTAGTACTGCCTTATGGAAAACAGTATGAAGGCTCCTAAAAAATTAAAAATAGAAAGCACCTTATGATCTAGCAATCCCACTACTGGATATATATCCAAATAAAACCATTATATCAAAGAGCAGCACTCCATGTTCACTGCAGCATCATTCACAATAGCCAAGACATACAACTGACCTGAGTGTCCTCCAATGGATGAAAAAGATGTGGTACAATGGAATATTTTTCAGTCATTAAAAATAATCAGGAGCTGGGGTTGTGGCTCAGTGGTAGAGCGCTTGCCTAGCATGTGTATGGCACTGGGTTTGATTCTCAGCATCACATATAAATAAATAAATAATAAAGGTTCATCAACAACTAAAAAAATTTTTTTAAAAAAATGAAATACTGTCATTTTAAGCAATGTAGATGAAACTTAAGATCATGTTAAGTGAAATAAGCCAGGCACAGAAAGAAATGTCACACGTTCTCACTCATTTGTGGAAACATAAAAAATTAATCTAAAGAAAAGAGAAGAAGAGACTAGGAAGAGCACGGGAGGAAGGATAATGAGAGGGTAGAAAATGGGTACCCAAGGGTTAGGGATGTAGCTCAGTTGGTAGAGTGCTTGCCTCACATGCACAAGGCCCAGGGTTCAATCCCCAGCACCCCCACCACCAAAAAAAAAAAAAAAAGTACCAAAATATAGTGAGAAGGAATTAGTACTATTTTTCTATAGTATAATAGGGTAAATTCAACCCACAAGAATTTTTCACATAATCCACAATAATTAGGAAAAATTTGTTCAAAGGTTCCTAACACATAAACTTTTAACACCCAAAAGCTAATTGCCCTGATTTTATCATTACATGTTGTATATATGCATTAAATTGTTGTATAATACCCCATACATTTGTACAGATGCTATGTTAATTAAATTTTTTTAAAAAAAGAAAGAAACAGATGGCTTTAAAGTCAATATGACTTCCTTTAAAAAGTCAACTTAGCTGAGCATGGTGACATACACCTATAATCCCAACAATTTAAGAGGCTGAGGCAGGAAGTCTGCAAATTACAGGCCAGATTTGGCAATTTAATGAGACTGTGTCTCAAAAAACAAAAGCATAAAAGGGGTAGGGATTTAACTCAGAGGTGGGTCGACCTGGGTTCTATCTCCATACAGTGAAAGAAAAAACTATATATAAACCACAAATTGCATATTGAATCTAAGAGGCACCTTTAATTAATAACATTTGAGAGCATTTCACTTAAAGCAGTGTGTATGACATTACTACTGAACAGCACTAATGTTAATAGTGAAATTCACTGTAAGATATTTTAATTACCTAGCAGTAATACAAGTAAAAATGACTAATTAGTTCTCTATTAAAATTTGAAAAGATACTTTGCTGCTCATGTCAAGTCTGTATATTTTCTTTTTTTTTTAATATTAATTTTCCAGTTATCGGCGGACACAACATCTTTTTTTTTGTATGTGGTGCTGAGGATCGAACCCGGGCCGCACGCATGCCAGGCGAGCGCGCTACCGCTTGAGCCACATCCCCAGCCCTGTATATTTTCTTTATATTACTTGTTCAACACAATAATTGACCCAATGATTTCCTAAATAATAATTTATTAGCACTTAGTATCCCATAAGCATAAATGTGTACTAAATCATCTTTTATTTGTCTCCATCCAGAAATATTAAATAAATTGTGTAGCAAATTCACACTGAGCTCTGGCCAGTTTGAGATTAAAGTCTTTTACAAACTCAATGAACAGGATCTGTGCCAGTACAAAAAGCAATACAAACCTTACATGTGCTTGACACTCAGATCTGGAAAGCCTATCATTCATTCCAAGTAGCTGGACTACTGACATGGTAGGAACAACACTCTGTCATAAAGCCTAAGTCATCTATACCTTTGACTTTACTACCTAAAGCAACAGTGATCCCAAAAGCTCCCTGAAACCCTCATATTCATTATATCTCTCTTTCCTGTCATCAGAAAAAGAAAAGGAAAAAGAAAAAACAGAAGAGGAAACCAAGAGAGGAATGAAGGGGGAAAAGGAAGGAGAAACAGAAGGAAAATTTTGTCAACTGGACAAATGGTTACATTACCCTGAACACCCTAGACATCTTTATAGTACTTCATAAACTTCTGTAAGGCCCAAACTGCCATGAAATAAATTAAATAAACTAATGAGTCAGTTACTTATAAAAACAAAAACTTTTGTTAGGTTTGTTTCACATAATAAGGAGACAGAAAAACAAAGTTGAAAATAAAGCAGTTTGGGGGCTGGGGAGGGGTGCAGGTCAGTGGTAGAGCATGTGCTCAGTATGAGTGATGCCCTGGGTTCACAATCAGTCAATCCACAATCAGTCAATCCATCTTCACCAACTCAGCAAACAAATGACAGACTTTTTTTTTCTTTTTTTAAGATGATGATAGGCAATCACTTACTTGATTCCAGATCATAAAATGAGTAAAGTTTCTCAGATTCTGAGGGAGTTTCTTCCATCTGTAAAGGAAAGGGGGGAAACCAAAAATAATCCGAAGCACTCCAATACATGAAGGAATGTGTTTGAATATCTTTACATATTTAAATGAAAGTCTACCAAAAGGCTATTTCTTATATATAAGTTCTTTATCATTTTTTTACAGCTGATTTATTTAACCTGGAACAACTTTAAAAGAAAATCTAACTTGTAGCTTCACCTACCGGTTTAATCGTCAAATGCAAACCTCTTTTTACATTCTCAAAGCTCTATAAATTTTAAAGTGGCAAAAAAAAAAAATCAATAAACAAAGGAAAGAACAGAGCTGGAGCCTATAGTAATTTGGGAAAGATATTCATGCAAAAGCCTAGCCAAAGAAACTAGAAGGCTTCTTTAGAAGAGGATTTCACAAATTCTACTAACCGGCACTGTATGAAAAGGGGCTGAAAAAACTATTTCAATAAATCCTAGCTACACAAAAAGACAAAAGCACCCTTCAATTTTATATTAATTATCATCTAATTTATATCTCACCAGAAAAGGCAACCAAAAAGGACATACATGTCCTGTACATTAGCTCACAGCAGGAAAAATGACAAAGGCAACATAACAAATATTAATTGCTAACAGCTTATACCCCAAATTTAGGATCCCACACTTCTATTCCCAGGAGATCATAGGGATTTTAAAGAGGGCTCTGCACTTCTTCACTGCCACAATTCCTTGACTAATAGGAGTATCTTAAGCTACTACCTGCAATAATTTACTCTGTACCTTAACATGGGTTCAATTTCAGCCTAAAATATGAATAATAAATGCAACTGCAAAAGCTTCTGGTAAATTAAAACTCAAGTGTCTTTTACAAGTAAACACTCACAAGTTTGAAGACAACTCGACCAAGAAGTCGCACAGAGTCAGGAGGATATCTAGGTTTGCAGCTTTTAAGGCATTTGCATTCCCGCTTGTGGTCCTGCCAAGCTTTTTTCTGTGAAGGTAAGAATGGCAAGCACATCAGAAACATACAATTTAACTTTCATTTACACTGATTTTGAATGTTGAGAATCACCAACATTAATTTAATTTCAACAGCCAAAATGCAACTACAAAATAGAAAATAAAAGCAATACTCAAACACTGCCAAAGATTCAGGATTTAGTCTTTGCCAAGTATGTCATTACCAAGCATGGGCATTGCTTGGAATGAACCACAAAGTGCCAAAGCGCCTCAACCTTATCTCTGTCCTTTAATTTGCCCTCTGGTCATTACCTATGTGGCAGACTCCAGAAAAAGTACCATTGTGGCCTACTTAATAATAAGATAGTCTTTTACCTGACTAAAAGGGATTCAATAATAGGCAGTCATTTTGAATACAAAAGAAAATATCACTCCACTTTAAAAAATAAAACACATGGTTTAGGAAAATCAAAATAGGTTAGAACTTCTAGGAACCTAAGTTTTGAAAACATTGTTTACAAGAGGTTTATCACTTCTTTGTCATCTCTAATCATGGCTGCCTTGCTTCTACTATGGTAATCCTCTTAACCTGCTCTTTAATCTTTCTTTTCAGAATTTATATTTCACTCACTTAAACAAGACTAGGCTGCATCAATATAAACAAAATCAAGAAATTAAGTTTGTAAAAACATAAACAAAATGCTAAAATTATTGGTGAGGAGTGAGAAAAAATCTTCTAGAATTTACTTAGCACTCTAAAATGTACTAGCTGCTTAGCTAAGCATACAAAAAGACATGTCATTTGATTTTCACAGTAATCCAAACAGAAGATATTATCCTTATATTTAAGATGAAGAAGGTATGGCTCAAGAACCATGACCTTACTACCAAATAAGCTAAACAGAAAAGGGAAGAATGAAAATCCCTAGTATACTAAACATGAGAGCTAAATAATCACCATGTTTTTGCACTACAGTTATTTGAGTTGCCTTACATGCAAGGCAAAAGAGAAAGCATAATGGCTTATATCATTCTCATCAGACAGAAAAGAAAAACACATTGCTTTACGAAGCATTAAACTACAGGAGAAATGTACTCCAAGAATCAGAATCAACATACTGGAGAATGTCTTTGACAATACTCTAGAACAAGAGTTTACACTATGGCCTTTTACATAGCTGCATTTAATCACTTAAAGACTTAATATCAAAATATAACGATGTGAAAGAAAATGTTTGTTGTTCATGGGGCTACTAACTAGTAATTATTAGGATTAGTAATAAAAAATTACCAACATGTAAAAATATATGGCTTCATTGTGGTTTTTTTAAATATTTTTCGTTAGTTGTAGTTAGACACAATACCTTTATTTTATTTATTTATTCTTATGTGGTGCTGAGGATGCAACCCAGTGCCTCACATGTGCTAGGTGAGCACTCTACTGCTGAGCCACAACCCCAGCCCAGTTTCATTCTGTTTTAAACACACAAAAATCATGCAGACTCTACTTAGCAAAATGAGTTTAACTTATTAAAAGTCCTAAAAAATTATACATTAAAGCAATCTGTATAAATTATTTAACTCAGGTTCTCATGATTGCCATTGCCATTTTTTGGGAAGTTAGGTTATTTATATACCAACTCATATATACCTATGTACTGGTCTTTGAGAATAGGTTAAACAAATTCATGGTTCTTTACACTGACAAGAAACAGACTGAAGAGAGAACCATAACTTTTCTAGAAGAGCTTTCATTTGGTTATGAAAGTTGTAAGACCTGAAAGAACCTCTTAATGGACAAACTGCGTGGGCAGGAACAAACCACAAAGTACCAACAAGTCACTGAGAAGGCACCTTCAGATTTATTCAAATGCCTGAGTACACATCCAGCTGAACAATAATCACCCTCAACAAAATAAACCACAGGTAATTTGAGACAAAAAATAATAATAATTAAGAACAGATTTTAATCAACCCCAGTCCCAAATATAGTAGAAACTGATAACTCCTTTTTTAAAACTTCCACTTTAGGGGATCCAAGATGGTAGAATATAGGAGATACCATTTCTGGCTGCTCTGAGGAATGAAACCAAGAAAGCAGTCAGGCGGTGTCTCCACAAGGTATCACCTAGGCAGAATACAACATCTCAGAGTGTGTAACAGGACCCCTCTACAGCGGATTTTCACAGAAACCATCAGAGCTGCGACCACCTGCAAAGAAATCAGAGTTTCTGTGTTCCAGTAAGACTCTGCACTCCAGAACCAAAGCCGGCAGTTCTTGAGCGCAATCTAGCCCCAGCACAAGGCCAGCCCAGCTCCCCCCACCTCACCAGACCCCCAGTGCTGGAAGCACACCAATTCCATCTTGGAAAACCTTTCTCCCAATTTTTTTGGTGGACGTGGCTATCAGTGTGGATCTCCATTTGAACAGGTACCTGGTTTCCAACTTCATAATAATCTGCCCCGCACCAGCTGTGATAATTTGGCGCAGTGACTACCCAGCACAAAAACCACTCTCAGTTGAATGGGAGTGCAGTGCAAGCCTGAGGGTGAGAGATCCAGCAATTGGGACCTGATAAGCAAAAGAGGAAAGGGGTCTAAAACCTGGAGCAAAAACAGAGAGACCAGATAGGGGAAGCTCCAGACAAGAGAGGGAGACAATACTGGGGCTCAAGTCTTCTCACGCTGGTTACATACACCACCCTGAAGACAGACTCCAGCTTAAAACAGACAACTCCACCTACTGGAAGAGATGAGAAGCAAGAAGGAAATTGAAGTCTAAGAGTATTTTTTTTTCCTTCTTATCCTTCTCCTTTCTCCTCTACCCTTCTATCCTCTGGCCCTCACAACCCCAACATATGTGAAACCGAGAACTTTACATGATATAGATATGTGAGAACTGAGTCACCTGAATAATATCATATAGAGGAATTGCATAAGCCATCCCTTTTTCTTTTCTTTCTTCTTTCTCTTTTTTCTCTTTCTTTCTTTCCTTTTTTTTTCCTTCTCCTTTCTTCTTCTTTCACCCTCCAAATTTTACTATTTTAACATCCTGTAAATTTCTAAATACATATGTGTGTTTTTATGTACTCTACTGTCTTCCAACGTACTTGTCTACCCTATTCCCCTGCTATGAACCCTCTTCATTAAAATTCTCCTTCAAATTTCCTAAGTTATGTTAACCCCATACCCTTACATCTTTCTCTCTTAGCATATCATCCTATGCCCAACCTCCAGTTCACTGTCCACCACCAAAACTGTACACTTTTTATGAAACTACTAATTATATTTTAAATAATAATTGAATCCAACATTTCTGGACATTGAGATTAACTATAAATGTCTTAATAACAATAATTTGTTCATAGGTAATGTACTGTTGATATTGGGCTCTGATAACATTGTCCTTCCCCACAAAGAAGGTATCTTGGAACCATACAAGAGCACTACAAATCTGTAGGGTAAAAACAATAACACACCAGTCCCACAGAGCTGGAAAGAAAGAAATGCGAGCAACATGAAAAGACAAGGGAATAAAGTACCACAAACAAATCAAGACAACACATCATTAGAAATATTGACAGCTACAGCAGAAAAAAATGACAGAGAAAGATTTCAGGATATACATGATTAAAATGTTTTGGGATCTCAAAGAAGACATAAGAGAACAAATACAGGCAGTGAAAGATCACTTCGACAATAAGCTACATAAACAAATCCAAGAAGCAAAAGATCACCTCAACAGGGAGATAGCGGTTATACAAAACAACCAAACAAAAATCCTTGAAATGAACGAAATAATAAACCAAATTAGAAACTCAAATGACAGCATCACCAACAGAGTAGACGACTTAGAAGATAGGACATCAGACAACAAAGATAAAATATATCATCTTGAAAAGAACATAGACAGCACAGCGAAACTACAAGCAGAACATTCGGGAAATATGGGATAGCATAAAAAGACCAAATTTAAGAGTTATTGGGTAGAGGAAGGCATAGAGGACCAAACCAAAGGAATGAGCAATCTATTCAATGAAATAATATCAGAAAACTTTCCAGATATGAAGAATGCAATGGGAATCCAAATCCAAGAAGCCTACAGGACGCCAAATGTGCAAAATCACAACAGATCCACACCAAGACACATTATAATGAAAATGCGCAACATACAGAATAAGGAGAGGATTTTAAAAGCCACAAGAGAAAGGAATCAGATCACATATAGGGTAAACCAATTAGGATAATAGCAGATTTTTCAACACAGACCCTGAAAGTCAGAAGATCTGAAACAACATATTTCAAACTCTGAAAGATAATGGGTGCAAACCAAGAATCTTGTATCAAGCAAAATTAAGCTTCAGATTTGAAGATGAAATAAAAACCTTCCACAATAAACAAAAATTAAAAGAATTTGAAGCTAGAAAACTGGCACTGCAAAACATCCTTGGCAAAATATTTCATGAAGAGGAAATGAAAAACAACAATGAAAACCAACAGGGGGAGGTAGTACACTAAAGGAAAAACTAATCAAAGAGGAAAACCAAGTCAAGTTAAATAACAAAAATAAACAAATATGGTTGTAAATACAAACCATGTCTCAACAGTAACCCTAAATGTTAATGGCTTAAACTCACCAATCAAAAGACATAGGCTAGCAGATTGGATTAAAAAAAAAAAGATCTAACAATATGATGCCTACACTCATCTGATAGGAAAAGACATACACAGACTGAAGGTGAAAGGTTAGAAAAATCATACCACTCAAATGGACTATGGAAGCAAGCAGAGGTTTCTATACTCATATCAAATAAAATAGACTTCAAGCCAAAGCTAATCAAAAGGGTTAAAGACGGACATTACATACTGCTCAAGGGAACCATACACCAACAAGACATAACAATCATAAATATATATGCCCCAAAGGTGCAGCTATGTTCATCAAACAAACCCTTCTCAAGTTCAAGAGTCAAATTGACCACAACACAATAATCGTGGGTGACTTTAACACACCTCTCTCACCACTGGATA